CGGCACTCCGTGACAGCTTTTTGCTTCGCGAAGCGACAGCGGGACGAAGCGGGTGGGAACCATTAATTTCAAGACATCGCGCCCGTGCACGGGATGTTTTTTCAACTCCTCCTGTTAATCCGCACCACTCCCGGCCTGAAAAAATGCAAAATGGACAGGATCACTTCCAGACAGTCGCGCGATGCCGAGGCAACGTTTGACAGACAACGGGAGTGTAGCATATGGCCGTTTACCATACTGCTACACGATGTTACGACAGTGTCGCAAAGCATTGGTTGGTTGGGTGACGACTGACACCTGTTACGCAGTGGAATAAAGACCATTGAAAAAGTAAGTCGTGTCCTCACGTTTCCTCGGACACAACACTCGCTATAAAAATAGGTGGACGTGTTTTAGCACGTGCCTTCTCTTGGGCTGTTACATATACCACCAGGTGTTCATAGATTCAGGTAAAACAATCCGGAGCCATTTTAAAAAAAACATTAAAAATTACAAATCAAACATTGGTTTTGTAGCCACAGCTGATGGGTTTGCCATCGGTTTTTGTGTATGTTTAGACCAGGGGTGTCAAAGTCAAATGGACGGAGGGCCAGATAAAAAATTTTGCTGCAAGCCGAGGGCCGATCGAATGTTCATTGAAAATTTTAAAAATGACCACATATTGTTTATTGAACCAAATTTAATTGACTGAAAACCTAACAAATACATTCCAATATGGTCAGATAAATAAAGCAACATTTTTTTATGGCTATGTCAGTAAACTTTAATTTTCAACAGGCACAAAAAAAATTTCCTTTGTATAAAAATACCCATAACATGAATGAAAGAAGCCGATATTATTCAAGGCACTATCAATAGTCCATATTTTCTCTTTTAGCAAAAGTAGGCTAAATTTACTTAAAAGAAAAACAAATAATAGTACAGTAATTTTCGATCATTTACTCGAAACAAATATTTTTAAAACATAATTGGATTGAAATACAACAAAATAAAGTGCAAAAATGTATAAACCAAAGACAACACTTTCTTCAAGGAGAAGTAACAAGCAGCGAAAGCAAATATTATACTTTAATTTTTAAACTTGAACTGAGTAAAAACTCTTAATATGTGATTGCACAGTATATTATAAGTAATATTCACATCTTTGAGGCTGAGGCTGATACTCGGTGGTGTCTTAACTTTTCTACAAGTTCATCAATATTTGGGGTCAGGCTCTGAGCTGAGCAAATCCTCAAAATTGAGTGAGGGTGTTCAGCAGTAAATCGACTTCTGTGTGATGTTTTGTTCAGCTTCAGCAAAGAAAATAGTTGTTCACACACGTATGTGCTGCCAAACTTTCGACAACGTTTGAGCAGCCTGGATGCGCAGCGGG